ACATACACACACACACACACACACACACACACACACACACACACACACGAACACCCAGACACACCAAAAGAACAAGCCAAACAACCAAACCAAAGAAAAACCCCAAATAAAGCAACAACCAAACAAAAACCCCAACAGACAAACAAAGCCAGTGTGGAAGCAAGGCTTCCTGGTTACACTTTCAGCCGTTATGACAAACATGGATGCAGCAATCAGCCTAAAAGCAGGGAAGTGTGATGTCATAGCTCCCGAGATTTCACTGCGTCCTTGGTGGGCTGAACATTGCTGGGGAGTCGGTGACAATGCAGTACCTTGTGGCTGTGGCTGGAGCCAAATGATCAAACAGATGCTCACCTCATTGTGAAGAACCAAGAAGCAAGCAGAACAAGAGGAAAGGACCAGAATTCCAGCATCTCCTTCAAACCCTAACTTGTGTTTTACGAGACTCCACTACGCAAAGGTCCTACAACCTCTCCATGGTACCATAGGCCATGGACTAACCCTTCAGTACATTGGCCTTTGGGGAGACGTTTTGGATCTAAATAGAACTTCCCCGAAAAAGTAACTAATCTATCCTCCAGCTGAAAAGTGTGAAATGGCTGTTACGTAGACTTTAAGAGTGGCTTATACCTGTTTGATACCCACTAATGAGTAGAGAGCACCTAAGAGAAATACCACACTAAGCTAGGAACTGTCACTCTTTGTTGTTGGGGAATATTATTTTAAGGTGTGTTACTTTTGTTTATGTTGCATCTGTTTAACTCTGTGAAGCTGTGTTACTGTGTCTGTGTAAAACAGCTGATGGTCTAATAAAGAACTGAATGGCCAATAGCAAGGCAGGAGAAAGGGTAGGCGGGGCTGGCAGGCAGAGAGACTATATAGAAGGAGAATCTGGGAGGAAAGATCGATCAGCTAGAGAAGGAGGAGGACTCCAGGGCCAGTCACCCAGCAAGCCAGGGCGGGATTAAGAGTAAGATTTACAGAGTAAGAGAATGGGAAAAGCCCAGAGGCAAAAGGTAGGTGGGATAAGTTAAGGAAAGCTGGCTAGAAACTAAGCCAAGCAAAGGCTGGGCATTCCTAAGTAAGAATAAACCTCTGTGTGTGATTTATTTGGGAGCTGGATGGTGTCCCCCCCCCCAAAAAAAAAGAACAAAAACAACCAACAACACGTCATTAACTTCCAAATCACAATTGTTTTCTAGAATTTCACAATATATAAACTGGTTCCTTTAAAAACATGTGGAGCCTGGGGCGGTGGCTCAGTAGGTAAAGTTCCTACTGTGTGATCATGAGGACCCGAGTTCAGTTCCCAGCACCCATGTGAAAAACCAAGTGTGGCGATGCACACTTGTAATCACAGCGCTAAGGATGTGGAGACAGGCGGGTCCCTGGAACTTACTGGCCATCCATCTTAGCCTGATTGGAAAGCTCCAGAGGGCCATTGAGAGACCCTTTCTCAAAAAACTTGATAGCTTCTGAGGAATGACACCAGAGGCTAACTTCTGGTCACCGTAGGGACACATGTGCATGTGCACACCTGCACACACCTGTACTTGCGGGCACGTACCCACGTATTCCCCAGGCCAGGTGCAAAGAATCAGAGAATGATTGGTTGTCATGACACATCAAGTCCTCCAGGTGTTGGGGTGATGCTGATGAGAAACAAGGATATTGGCAGATGTCCAATGTGTTCTGAAATACTCCTTTTCACTGCATCCCCTCTTCACCCTGACCTGTGGACTTACCAGCCTTGACGGTCTCCTCAGCTGCAAGTTGACATAACTACCACAGCTACCCCTCCTGTTTTTTGGGGGGAGGGGGTCATCTGCAACCACACACCAAATTCTCTGTGGCAGTTACATCTGAGAAAGTCCTGGTGCTGTCTTCAGACGTGAATATGCCAGGGAGAAATGGGCAGTCGCTTGTAGTAAGTAGAGGTGAGACTTGCACGTGGCCTGTGGCTCAGAGGCTACATTTTGTTCATTGTGACAAACCACTATCTGTATGTCTTTTTAACTTGGAGGATAAATTAATCAGTTTTTCTCAAGAAGTTGCTGGTTCTGATTTATATCTGATCATTATTATTTTTTCGGGTTTATTTTACTCTCTTTTTTTTGTTTGTGTATGTGTCTCTATGCCTGTGTGTGTGTGTGTGTGTGTGTGTGTGTGTGTGTGCGCGCGCGCGCGCGCGCGCGCGCGCGCGCCTGTGCCTGCAGTGGCCAGAAGACGGCGCTGGGTTCCCTGGAGCTGGAGTTACAAGCATCTGTGAACCACTTGACTTGGGTGCCGGGAACCAAACTGCAGTCCTGTGGAAGAGCATCCGGTGTTCTTTGCTGCTGAGCCACGTGTCCAACCTTGACTGTGACTGTTGACTGAACCATTGTCACAGATGTCACCACACTTTCACTTACCCAGCCCCACTAATGAGAAAGGCCACACAGTGAGAAAACCCAAACAAGGAGAGAAGACTATAATTCTGTTTTTTCTCCTAATCAGTGTCACTTACCAGCTAAAAAAAGACATTGGCTTCTTCGATTCATGTTCCTGAAGGCCATAAGCATCCAGTGGACGAACGACAGCTCTTATTCCTCCTGTGCCCAGGCAGAGGGTCAGCAGTGCTATGTGAAACAGCCCAGCCCGCTCCTCCACGGGCACGCTGTTAACCACAGGGTAAGAGCCTCCGTAGAAATCTTCCAAGGGAAAAGCAAGCACGGATAACAAAGCGGTGCCTGTTGGCAGAGAGAAAAGGAGAATGTGAATGGCGCAGATCCGCAGACTCACTGGAGCACGTCATAAGTAAGCGTTTCCCTCTGAAAGGTTCATGCTTGTATGAGTGCCTTACTTGTATACATGTGTTAATCATTGCAATTTCAGGGATGGCTTGGATTTTCTGAGTGTGAAAATTCTGTGGCTGGAGAGATGGCTCAGTGGTTAAGAGCTTGTACTGCTCTTGCCGAGGACCGAGTTCAGTTCTGTGCGGTTTAGGTATCAGACACCCCTCTGCCCTTCGTGGGCTGTCCTTGCATGTACATCTTCCACTATCTCACACACATAATTAAAAATAACAAACTCATAAAATTTTCATTCACTTATAGTTGATATAAAGAAATTATATAAGAAAGAAAATTCTCTTTGTGTGTTTTAACTAATCCAAGATTCTATTTTTTCCCTTCCAGCTTAAACCATCTTTTCTTTATGAATGTATAAACAAATGATGATAATTTTTTTTTTTTTTTTTTTTTTTGGTTTTTCGAGACAGGGTTTCTCTGTGTAGCTTTGCGCCTTTCCTGGAGCTCACTTGGTAGCCCAGGCTGGCCTCGAACTCACAGAGATCCGCCTGGCTCTGCCTCCCGAGTGCTGGGATTAAAGGCGTGCGCCACCAACGCCCGGCTGATGATAATTTTTAACAACATTAAAATGACTCAGAACTATATCATGGGAAACAAGACATTTGCTGTGTCTGGCAGAGTATTCTTGTGGTCCTAGTTCTCCGGAGGTGAAGGTGGAAAGGTCAGGAGTTTAAGGTCATCCTTTGGGCATGTATATCCTAGTTTCTCTCATTTCTTACACAGCTTCACGGAGCCTTCCTGGCATATACAGAGAGATGAGAATCTGGAGCAGGGGTACAGGAATATGTCCTGGACCATGTAGACCAGTCAGGAGGAGGGAGGATACAGAGTGGTAAGAGAAGCTTGAGCATCCTTCCCACTTTTACCTTGTGGGCCCTCACTTGATGATTCTACTCATCAAATGGAAGTTACTGTGCAGCCCCATCATTCGCTAACCTGTCCCTTCCTTGTCAAGCATTTTCATGTGCTAGGTTGTTTACTCTTGAACCTAACATTTAGATGTCAGTTGTTAGAGCTCCCGTCCTGTACTGTCTCCTTCTCTCCCCCGTCGTCCCTCCTCCTTCTATTCCTTCTTTCCTTCCCTCCTCCCTCTCTCCCTCCTTCCTTCCTCCTTTCCTGTGGTACCAGGGCTGGACCCCAAACTCTCACACACATTAGGCATTCACTCTGTTGCTGAGCTACATCCACAACACTGTTAATGTTACTTTGTTCATTTGATTACTTTTTGTTTTCTGTTCAACTACTTTGACATTACCATTTTTAGTATGAAATTTTATAAAGTGGTTCTGGGCAGTTAGTTCCTTAATTGGATCTTAAGTTCCACAGAAATATAAGTTGGGAACAGCATTTAACATCTTTTCTACATGTCTTTACCATGTGGAGAATATATGCATTTGATTGTCATTGAGCCAATGGGCTAATTTACCTTAAGAGTGGACCCTCACAGTTACTGAGTTTGAAGTAGTGTTTTCTTTCAAAGTCAGCCAGATGTGAAGCAACATGTTTCTCTACTACTTAATCTTCTTCCCCAGAAGTGTGATGTGAAGTTTGGCAGTACCAAGGGCTATCCAACAGCATGTTCAGTTCAGCTGCTCCATGCAGTGACCACCTATTTAAGGACAATCTACTTCTAGACCATATGATACTTCTGTGTAAGCAAAAAAAAATGCTCTATTTCTGTCCTTTGAGAAAATGTCACAACACTATGATTTCATTAGATCAAGACTTCATTTTCATCTTCAGTAAAACTGATGTGATAAAAATACAAATCTGTGATATATTTGATAAGAATTTCTCTCTTTGATGCGTGCCATTGTGTCCTGCATAAGTCATCTGCCTATATCTGTAAGCCCTGTGAAAAGTGCTGTCATATCTTATGTGAGGTGGTGGGGAGCAATTCATGAGTGAGTGCGTACATCAGAAAAAGTAGATATGCAGAGAACAGGTGCATGGCAGAAGTATGAGTGAAGTCATATGGATTGTGTGCATGTATGTGCTCTGGCACATGTGTGTAAATGTTTGTGGAAGCCAGGGGACTTGGCAGGTATTGTCCTTCAGGAGCCACCTGCTTTGTTTTTGGAGATGGGGGCATCTCAGCGCTTGCCAAGTAGGCTAATGGTGTGGAATGGTTTCCTCTGATTTGAAACATTCTTTCTAGGAGAGAGAGGGGGAGGGGAGGTCAGGAGACCCAGGAGGTAAACTAAATTCACATGTCCAGGGAAAGATGAAATTTACAAGATTCACCAAGTTCCCTACCCAGAGACATAGAGGCAGCAAACAAGTGCTTCGGGAGATGCAGAGAGGCGAGTCCCTGACCCAGGAACTGTCTAAGTCATGTAAAGAGCCCTAGGGATGTGTATTTCATGTCATCACACAGGTTGGAGTGTGCTTTATGCTGATGGTGCCCTATAATTGAGTCATTCCTGCTCCTATAAATCACCTTGCACCTATAATCCTATTAGTAACCACAAATAAAAACTCACTAGTTCACCAAATTGAATTTTGATGTAATTATTAATTTGGTTGTGATAGGTTCTATATCTTGGGTGAATACAGGTGTGTGTGTGTGTGTGTGTGTGTGTGTGTGTGTGTGTGTATCTGTGTGTACATCTGTGTGTCTCTGTGTACATGTCTGTGTGTCTGTGCGTGCTTCCTAGGAAAAGCCTCTTACACAAAAGAAGGCAGCCTGTATCCATCTCCCAGTGTTGAACTACAATTGGGTACCACCACATCATGTATTTGGACTTTGGTTCTGGGATGAACTGGGGTCTCCACACTTGCATGGTAAGCACTTACTAACTGAGTTATCATTCTCTCCAACCCATGCAATCTTCTATATTGATAACAGCATAGTTAAACATGGAGAGGGCAACAATAAACATGGGTCTTGACAAAAGAGCAAGAGTTTTCAAAATTTCAGGTACAGAGTGAAACTTGAGGAAGTTAACTCTTTCAGACAGAGAGGAAAATGAGTGGAAGAGAGAAAAGTGGGGATGTAGAAAGGGTCTCAATGTCATTGGAAGCTAGCATAGATCATTGCAGGGGATTAAACTTCATATAAATTATAAAGGTCTGATAAACTAAATTTTGAGTTTATTTTTTAGACAATAGAAACTATGAATTCATTCTTTTTCAGGAAGTTGTATTGGTAAAATGATATGAGTTGGAATTGGACAGATTACTGGTAGGTCAGTAGATAGTCTATGGTCAAAGAGAAGGCTGTATTTTTTTTTAATCTAAACTGATATCAATTCAGAAAGAGGCCATACTTTGGTTAGAATCCTTACTATTTAGTAAACAGGTTGCCATGTCCTGGCAGCTGTGAGTGGAAAACTTTGGGACATAACTTACAGAAGAAAGCCAAGCCAAGCTTAGCACCACAGGCTCATAATCCATCTTCCTGGGAGGCTAAGGTAGGAGGACTCGTTCCTAGACCTGATGGAGCTGCACAGTGTTTTCTAAGACCGCCTGGGCAACTTAGAGAGACCCTGTCTCAAAATAAAAAGGTAAAAAGGGATGGGGATATAGCTCATTGGTGGGGCCCTTGCTGAGCATGTGTGAATCCTGGCTTTCTATACCCAATATGGGGGGGAGGGAGGGAGAGAGGAAGAGGAGAGGGAGAGGGAGAGGGAGAGGGAGAGGGAGAGGGAGAGGGAGAGGGAGAGGGAGAGGGAGAGGGAGAGAGAGAGAAGAAATAACCAAACAACAATAGCACATAGGGAGTTAATCTAGCTCTTTTTGCTTGGAAAATTCCAAAGTCAAGATCTCCCTTTTCTGTCCTAGTGTGGTGACTTACACAAGAGTCCAGACTGATCAAAATCACATTGGACAAGAAAGTGACTGAACGCTTGTGGTGTGGCGTGCTGTCCAGTCAAGAATGCGTCTTTCCCACCTTGGCTTAGCTACTTAACAGAAAGCATTCCCTGATACCCAATAGCAGGCCCGCCACTGTCCCCTCACCCAGGTCTTCTACTCTTCTTACACTGACAAAGAACCTCTTTACCAGGAGATTCTCTCCCTTTCCTCACTTGAAAGTCAAGGTCAGAAGGAATTCATGGTTTTCCATTTGCTTGCTTCCCAGACCTCAGAACAACACATGGCCACAGAGTAGGTAGCAAGAGACATTTCCTGAAGCTTGGAGGAATACGTGTCACCTAGGTCAGTCTTTATTTCACATAACTTGAGTAGCAATGAACCCAAGTCCAAGCCACACTGTCATCAATTTCCTGAATGGCTGTTTACTCTTGCTTGAAATCCAGGGCTTCTAGCACCTGCTGTCTACCATGTTTCCTCACCAGCCACCAGCCACTTTGACTGCCCTACTCACTCCCCATCAGTGGTATACCACCTGCCAGGGTCTTCAGCTCAGAACCTGGGAGACTGTCTCAGGTCCTTCATCATCACATTCATGCCATTTGGGGAATGGCCGCCAGGGTCTCATGTCTTGTGCCTCACTCTTGCTTATACCACCATGCTGAGACTTTCTGAGTCTCCATTTAATCAGCCTCCTGTGTGTGGCTGTGTGTGCTGTTTGCGGAAGGAAACCATTTCACAGCTGCTGTGTCCATCCTTGCCTCCTCCTGCTTTTCCAGGAAGATTCAATGTAAGGTTGTGAGCCAGGGCCAGGAAGACGGGTCAGTGGGTAAAAGAGCTAGCCATGCAACCTCACAGTCCCTACACCCACGGGAAATGCTGGATGTGATAGCACACATTTTTTTTTTTTTTTTTTCGAGGCAGGGTTTCTCTGCCTAGCTTTGCACCTTTCCTGGAACTCACTTGGTAGCCCAGGCTGACCTCGAACTCACAGAGATCCACCTGCCTCTGCCTCCCGAGTGCTAGGATTAAAGGTGTGCTCCACCACCGCCTGGCAGATAGCACACATCTTTAATCTCTGTGCTCCTATGTTAAGCTAGGGAACAGAGGTGGGAGAACTGACTGGAAGCTCACAGGCCAGCTACTCTGGCAGACATGTCTCTCCAGCAGAAACAAGGAGACTCTGCCTCAAACAGGATGGAAAGCAAAAACCTACTCCCAAAAGTTGTCCTCTGACCTCCCACACTTGTAGACTATCACCAGCTTGCTCTTTATGCCTCATTAAGTATTCCCAAGCTTCTGGAGTATGTTTATTTTTCTTTATGTAAACAATCATAATGCCCTGAATGAATTCACTTATCTTTAAATCATATTACTGTAGCTGAATACATTTATATGAAATCTAATTACTATATGATTAATTATAAAACCCAAACACTTCTTAGTTATTCTACGTGAACTTCCATGACCTTTTTAGCATATTTCATCTAGTTGTGAAGCAAATGAATTTCATGTTTCATATAGGATCTGTCACAAATTTCAGCTGGAGCACAGAGAGGGAAGCAAGGGCATTCAAAGGTGTACAGCAGATTGATGTGCAAAGATGTAATTAGCAAAAATGTAGTAATCAGAATGCTCTAGGTATTGAAAATCCTGGAAAACACTACATACAGACATCTACTAAGCCTAAACAATATACAGAATGAAATAACGTGAAACAACATACTTCATTTATTCTATTTTATACTAAGAGCAGGGTGGGAATAAAATAACCTAAAAATTCTAACAAAAACATTAAGCTCTGTGATTAAAAAAAAAAAAAAAACCTGGTTAGCAGGGGACACTCACCTAGAAAATGTAGCAATAAGGATATGCACACCAGTTTGTTCCTCCCGAAGCTGTTATCAGCAAGCCACCCCACAAACAGGGGGGTGAGGACTGAGGCTCCAATAAAGCACAAGTTGAGAATGGCTGCCTGGTGGTTGTAGTAGCCAAGTTTTACTGTGCAAAAGGGGATCATGTTGCAGACGACTTCAAAGAAGGCAAACTTCTCACACAGCTCCACCAGAAGCAAGCAAATTCCAACTTGGGAACACCCAAAAGGTCTCACTGTCTTCTGCTGCTCAGGGCCACCATGTAAGGCTAGTTCTTCATCAGCGATGATGAAGTCTGTAACGGGCATGACTACTTTCCCTTGAAGACTACTTGTGTGAGTTGCTTGGCCTTGGTGGCTTTTTTTTTTAAACCCCATTCCTCTAAGGAAAAAAAAAATAAGATGGCTGCCTTGAATTTTACAGCTCCATGCTAAAATTTCTTCAGGTTTTTTGCACATTCACGCTATTCTTCTTGGCAATCTACAAGCCCAAGAAAGAAGATCTGAACATTTAAACACCCAAGGCTCAGCATAGCCAAATCTGATTTGTTTGTTTAATTACATAGAGACTAAATTAGATGCTTCTTCCAAAATTATATTGAATTAGGTGAATCCAGTTGCATACATATGGAAGCTCATCTGCCTCACACAGATAAAGGTTTAAATATGAAGGCAAAAGAAACAGTTTTTCAGGGGAATTTGAGCACCAGATCAAGAAATAATTTGAGTCTAATAATTTCTGATATTTTAATTAAACAAGCCAGAACAGTGCCAAGAGATAAAGTGCAAAAGGAAATCTGTTTTGAGGAGGCAGGGTACCTTATCATGATTACATTTCTTGTTATTTTTGCTTGGGATTCTGATAAGAAAGTTAATTAGGAAACAAAAGTGCTAGTACATTTAGGTAACGAGCAGAGTTTACAAGGAAGTAATTTAAGCTCACTAATGAAAGGGGGAAAATATTAAATAAACTCCACTTCCTTTAGGTTGACCCCATGCTTGTAGAACAGTCTCTCTGAGGAAATCAGAATCAAAAGGTGCCATTTGGCTCACTGGTTATTAATCAGCAGTCAGCAACCAGCCTACACATGCTTCGGGGAATATTGAATCTAGTATTATCCTAACCCTTCAATTGAGTGAATGGAGGCAAGCATTCTACTTTGGAAACCAAGAGTGCATCAATCAGGCTAACAAAAGCGGCAGTGGATGAGAACATCTCACCATTTGGGGGTTTACCTACTGGGATGCAGGGAGATAAGTGGCTGGAACTACTGGGTAACTTGTAAAATTTTAGCAAACAACACTTATTTTCATGTTGGAGTATGAAACCAAAGAAACAATATATAGCCCTCAAAGATTTTGAGGGCTGTATATTGTCCAGTTCCCTTCCTGTATTTAACTTTCTATGCTTCCTGGCCTCCATGATGTGAACTTCTCTGGTTTCCCACACCATTAGTTGGTGAGATGGCTCAGTGAGTATAAAGACTTTTGCCTTGCAGGCCTAGGGGCCTGAGTTCAATTCCTAGAACTGACATAAACTGTGGGAGGAAGCAGCTGATTTCACAAAAAGTTGTACTCTGACCTCCACATGTATACCTTGGCATGAATGACTACACATTGCTTCACATCACACACACACACACACACACAGAGAGAGAGAGAGAGAGAGAGAGAGAGAGAGAGAGAGAGAGAGAGAGTCAGACAGACAGAGATACACACTCACAATAATAATTATAATGATAATAATAATAATAGTAATAATAGTCAAAGTTTTAAAATTCATGGGTAATGACCCAAGAACAACATATGGAATCTGAATCACCCAGATGACAGGATAGAGAAGAGGCCTGTGATGAGGCCCTGGTGAAAACGTAGTCCCTCCTGGTTCCCCGCCTTTTATAAAAGACTCAGGTCGTCCAATCTTTAGTTTGATTAAGTTAAAAGACCACTGTGGTTTTTGTAAACCACAGAAAGTTAACCTTACTACCAGCCAAGAGCTTTTGTCTCTTGTGTTTGCCCCACATGTGAGGAGCCAGTCACTGGGGATATAATCTGCCTCCCAAGAAGGTTTTTCAGTGGTGTCCCTTCTCAAGCAGTGTAGTTCTGCTCCTGGCATGGGCCTCTGCTGAGCATGCTCGAATTCTTCCATGGGAACTTGTGCTTTGGAAAATTTTTCATCCGTGAGAACTATGGAGGTTGCCTGCTTCAGCAACCCTCAAGAGGGCAGAGAGGACCACTTATTGTGAAGCAAGGCTTCCTGGAATTTCTGGTGCAGAGGGAAAGTCTGATAGTATTGTGATAAGGACAAGGTAATTAGTAAAAGGACATTTCAATTTTGTGAAATTGGGAGAAAAATCAAGTGGTAGCCCTGCTCTTTCCCTTTCGACTGTGAGTCTGTTACACCAACTGTGTATAAAGCCTGTATCAGAAAGTCACAGAGGAAGCTTAGTGGAGACGACTGAGGAAATGTCACAGATCTCACACAAAAATGCCTGTTATTGCTTGTCCCTTTATATTTGTATTTCTCAGCTACTCGAAGCAATGAATCTTTGGGAAATATGGAGCCATCTTCCAGGTCCTGTTTGTGCAGAAGAGAGAAGTCAGAAGGCTGGATTATACATATACATTACACACACACACACACACACACACACACACACACACACACACACACTATATATATTTCCCAGTGATATATATATATATCTAGAACTGAAACAGTGTAAAAAAGGTGTTTTTTCCCTTTCCTACCACCCCGCTAATAATTTATTAATTAGTTTGCTTATTTTATGTGTATGAGTATTTTTCTACATATATTTGCACCACATGCATTTCTATTGTCCATGGAGTCCAGAAGAGAGCATTAGGTCCCCCAGGACTGGAATTCAAGATGGTTGACATTTCATTATGGATAATGGGAACAAAACCTGGGTCATCTGCAAGAGCAGAAAGTGCTCTTAACCACTGAGCTATCTAGCCCTTCCTACCAAGTCCCAGTGACAAATACAGAGCACACTCAAATGGCAAGTGTCAGGTGCTCTTGAGAGTGACCTTAGCAGGAAATTTTGAATGTCATCCTTTTTATTAATAAAACTGTTCCTGAACATTGGAGACATGGCTCAGTGTGTAAGGTCCCTTACCACACAAGCTTGGGACCTCAGTGTTGGGTTTTGAAGCCTGTGTAGGAGCCACAAGGTGGAGATCAAGGTCCAATGCCCAAGGTTGTCCTCTGACCTTCATATCCGTGTCATGGCATGGGCACCCGCACACACCATCATCTACATATACACAAAAATAAACATGTAGAGTGGGGATTTGTAGATTTTAAGAAGGCTATGAAATCACTGCTCATCTTTTATGGTTTCATTAATACTCACAGCTGTGTGCACAATCAGTGTTCCTATGATCCTATCCATGTTTTTAATTTTTACTTATTTTATTATTGAGAATTTCAGACAATGTGTTTTGATCATATTCACCCCCACTTTCCCAAATCTTCCTAGCTCTACCTCTCTTTGCTTTCCTCCCAACCTTGTGTCCCCTTTCCCTGCCCTTCTTTTTTTCCCTAAGGGCAGAAACAAAAATCACCAATAAGTACAGTTCTGCTTGGATGTGTGGCCACCAACTGTAGCATAGTTGACCCACCAGGATCCACATACTGTAGAGTGCTCAGCCTTAAATGGGACCTCAATATCACACCCTCTCCTTCCCAAGGCTCAGTGATCATTGAAGAGGGCACAGAAAAAATTTAAGAGCCAGAGGTATTGGATGGCTACAAGGAAACAGTGTTTTCTGGACACAGCAGGACAATTGTACATACAAATTCACGGGAGTTGTGACGGCATGCACAAGACTGGCATGACCTCAAGCAAGGCAAGATCCCAGCACAGAAAGAAGAGGGTGATGATGTCCCACCACTAGCTAAGGAACTGTTGACAACTGATAGCTTCTGGAAGAGGAAGAACCTATCCTTTCCATGTTCCTTTGTTTTTTTAAAAGTTTTTATTGATTCCTTGTGGATTTCCCATCATGCATCCCAATCCCATTCATCTCTCCATCCCTTTGTATCTGCCCTCTACCCTTGCAACTCCCCCCACCAAAAAATAAAATAAAATCTAAAAGAAAAGAAAAAGAAAAATCTCATCATGGAAACTGTAATGTGACACAGTGAGTCACACAATATACCCTTTAGTCCATACATCTTTACTTGTAAATTACATACATTCATTCATTGCAATGAGACATTGGTCTGGTTTGAGGCCTCTGACTTCTGCTCTACTATCAATACTGGGCTCTCACTGGGGCTCCTCTTGGATATCCTGTTGTTGCCCTGTGTCATGGAGATCCTGTAGCTTTGTGCCTGCAAGATCCACCCTTCATGTGCTCCAGTAGTTCATAGATGGAGTGGATATTGGGGTGGGTCAACTCATAGCCCTGGTTCTGGGCCTGGGTGAGCCTACCAGTTCTCTCTTATCCTCACCACCAGGGCTAGCTCACCCACACCCATACCACCAGGGTCAATGTTACTGTGTTGCCCACGTGAGGTGCAGGGCCTGTTCTCCAGAGTGCTGCAGCTGTTGAGGGCAGGTCCTGCTCTCCTGCTCTCCTGCCCCTGAGGCCAGCTCTCCTGCCTGCTACAGGTGATGAGGGGCTGGGGAGGATATCTTTCCCTTGGCCACGCCACCACATGCAAAGGAAGGGGGTGGGGCCATCTCTCCCATTCTCCTGCCCTCACAGCCAGCTCAAATACCCTCTGACAGAGTCAGCTCTACTGTGCTGCCCAGGCAAGGTGCAGGACCTGCTCCCCTGAGTGCTTCAGCCAGTGAGGGGCAGGGCCAACTCTGTGCAGGCCTATTCTAATGGCCTTTGGTGGTAATAGGAACCAGAGACATCAACACAGATTGTGGTTGCAGCAGGTCCACAGATGAGACATGGCCCATGGCCCAGGCCTGGACATCACCACAGCCCTGGGTAGCAAGCAGGCCACCCACATCAGCCGGTTCCTCACCACCTTTGCCTCTTCAGCTCTGCCTCTTTCCATAGAGCATGAATGTAGCTAGAGTTTTCTCTCCGGGTCCTGCCAAGCCCCAGGAGTCCCTTAGCCCACTTATAAAATAAACATACAGACACTTATATTATTTAAACTGTTTGGCCATTAGCTCAGGCCTATCATTGTCTAGCTCTTACTCTTATATTTAGCCCATTTCTATTAATCTATACTTTGCCACGTGGCTCGTGGCTTACTGGTACCTTACATCGTCCTTGTCCTGGTGGTGGCTCCAGCAGTCTTTCCCTTTGCCTTCCTGTTC